GACCGACCGCGGCCGAGCGGGGCCTGGGCGCGGGCGCCGGGGAAGCCCGCCGCGGCGGGCACAGGAGGAAGCGGCGGCGGCGCGTCCCGAGCCGTGCGCGCCATGTCGGGCGGGCCCCCCAAGGGCCTGCCGTCCACCGGGCCCCACTCCCTGCTCGACATGCCGCACCCGCTGGCCGGCTCCAGCAGCGAGGAGGCCGTGGGCGGCGACAGCACGCCCAGCCCGGACCTGCTGATGGCCCGCAGCTTCGGCGACAAGGTGGGGCGCGCGGGGCTGGGGACCGGGAGGCGCGTTTCGCTCTCGCGGGGGATGGTGGACCCGGAGCTCTCCCTCCGGGCCCCGGGCCGCGCCCACCCTGGCGCCCCTGCCCGGGGGCGGGCGTTCCCTGGCTCCCCAGAGCCATCGGAAAATCGTCCCTCCCGGCCGCCCCCGCGGGGTCGTAGCCGCAGGGGGGGCGGCAGGAGGGGGCGGGCATGCCCCGCTGTGACGGGTCGCGAGCGCGGGTGACAGCTGGAGGGGAGGGGTCCTGGCCGCGTGGTGCGGCCAGTGGCGGGTGTGCAGTGCCCGGCGCGTGTGCCCTGGGATGGGGTCCCGGGTTCCTCCCGGTGCATCCGCGAAGGCTGAGCTGCCGGGTGACTTGTAGCTCCCCTACTTTCCTGGCACTGCAAAGAAGCAAGAGTTAATGGTTTTCCCTGGTGGGAGCGGCAGCGTTGGTCTTGCTGCCCGAGTCGTCTTCCTCACGCTCTGTCATGTGGGGAGTGATCTTTGTTTAGGTTTGCTGTGTGCCCCGAGGAGTCACCTGACTCAGACCCCGGCCGGCGGGTGGGGAGAGTCTCGCTGTGGTTTTCTGTCTGGGGCTCTTTCTTTCACCTCTCACGGCCTTCCACACTGTTTAGTTTTGTCAGAGGCCCGTTTTTTGTGGTTGATGGAAGGAAAGCTCGCCCTTTGACCTTCTTTGTGCAGAAGGAAGCTCCTGATATTCTTAGAGCGGCATAATTATCCTGCTGCTTTGAGAGACAGCAGAGTACGGTGAAGGGCGAGGGGCGGCATCCCCATGACCCCCTGCCCCATGGCCATTTCAGCTGTGACCAGGACTTGAGCTGTGATCCTCTCAGCGCTGCTGTGGCCACCTACTCACCGATATGCAGAAATTAGAATTGTTCTCAACACTTGTGATCAGGACTCCCTCCTCCCAGTAAAATACTGAATGAATTCCTCCTTGTCCCAATGTTAAATGCAATCAGAGGGGACCTCTTTCCCCCGGAGATGGGAGGGCATGTGATACAATAAAAATGAGTATTAGTGCACTGAGCACTCAAAATGGCTATGGAGGGGGACTTGATGTACCTTCCTGAAAGAGTTTATGAAAGCCAGGAGTGGGGAGTAGAGCATTAGGAGCAAAAAGACTTAAAAAGCCAATTAAACCAATGAATTGAGCAGGTTGAGGTGTGTGTTGTGGGGGAGGGGGTTCCTTGTGATTATTTCTCTTTATTTTATAGATGACAAACTATGAAGAGTTATGTTGCTTGGAAATACCTTGCCCATATTTGACGTTCAATAAGTAATTGTCAAATCACTGAAAGAATAATTTGTTGCTCTCTTAAAGACAAATTGTTCCTGCATGCATGTGTGCATGTAGGATATGAAGTTAAACCTTCTGATTTCCTTCTCAGGATAGTGAATTAATTATCTATTGCTGTGTAACAAATTACACCAAAATTTAGCATCCGCAGATAGTTTGTGTGGGTCAATAGTGTCATGTCATCCAGGAGCAGCTGAGCTGGGTGGTTCTGACTCCGGTCTCTTTTGAGGTAGCAGTCAAGGTGTTGACCAGGGCTGGGGTCATCTGAAGATTGGGTTGGGGGAGGATCAGCTTCCAGGCTCATTCACTTGGCTGTTGACAGGCCTTAGTTCCTCTTTATAGGGCGGCTTGCCATGGCAGCTAGTTTTCCCCCAGAGAAAGTGGTCCAAGAGAGCAAGTGATCCCAAGACTCAAGCTATACTCTTGTATGATCTAATCTTGGAAGTGACATAATTCTGCCGTATTCTATTGATCACACTGCTAGTACAAAGTGGGAAGAGGGTATAAATATAGGAGGTAGGGGTCCCTGGGTGACTCAGTCCGTTGAGCATCTGACTTTGGGTTTTGGCTCGGGTCATGACCCCAGGGTTGTGGGATCAAGTCCTGTGTCCGGCTCTGTGCTGGGCGTGGGGTCTGTTTAGGATTCTCTCTCTCCCTCTGCCTCTGTCTTGCCCCCATGTGTGCACACGCCTCACATTCTCTCTTTCTATGCCTCTCTCAAATAAAAAATAAATAAATAAAATCTTTAAAAAATATATCAGGAGACAGGGATTATCTGGCTATCTTGAATGCTGGATGACACTGATTGCTATTTTAGTTATTTATTTTAAAGGTTTTTAAAATTTATTATTATTTACTAATTGCGATACCCAACGTAGGGCTTGAACTCATGACCTTGAGATCAAGAGTCACATGGCTCTTTCACTGGGGCAGCTAGGTGCCCCCACTAATGGCTATTTTAAACATTTGCTTAGCGATCCACTCTTGGAGGACACTTGTCTAAGAAATATGGGCATTTTACTAATAAATACTGGGAGGACAAATGCCCGGTACCACCAAGGTCTTGTTGGTGGGCAGGAAGTCAGGCCCAAGTCTAGTTACTCCTGGCTTCCAGTTCTATGAGAAGACAGTCTTGAAGCCATTATTATTAATTATTGAATGTTTAATAAGTCTCCATACAGCTGTAAGAAGCATCAAAATGACATCACTCCCAAGGGCCTGATTTATAGTAAGCCACTTTTCCTTGGAGGCTAAGTAATGTAATTTCTTTCTCTGACTGGAAGTAATATTTTCCTTGAATCTTGGCGTGCATGTATGTTCTAGCAACTCTGGAGAAATTTCTGTAGAGAGAAGCTAGCATGCAACAGAGGTGAGTCAGGACCAGTGGAAGGAAGGCTTCTCTTTGCCCTGCTTTCTCTTGCCCAGGCAGCATGCGGGTCATTGGAGGACAGGTAGGAAAGCTGAGTGCTGTGATCGGTCTTTGAAAAGAAACCTGTTTTCTTGCCTTTTTGGACAGTGCATTGTGACCCTGGATGCCTGGTTCAGAGTCAGTTCTGGGATTGGAGAACGAGGGTTTGACAGGCTGCTCGTGGTGCAGGGTTATTTATTGTATTATGCGGAGGAGAATCGCTTTCTGTGGGCCCAGGATGTTGCCAAGCACAGGGAAGTCTTGTGTCTCGGTCCAGCAGACGCTACTGAGTGGCATCTGGGATGCTTGCTTGAGAAGGAGCAGCAACCAAATATGCCCTTTTCATCCACTGCCTTTGAAAATCATCCAAACCTTGGAGCTACGGGAGAATCCTTCCTATCTTCCCAGGGTTGCGTGAATTCTTTTCATGCCAGCTGAACTCACCAGGCCTTCTATCACCACCTCCTTCATCTCCTCCTAAAATGTAAATAAACCACTTGACCTGCCTCGCTTTTTTACTTTCATCTGCAAACCACTCTGGGCTACTTCTCCCCTGACTCAGCCTCCAACTCCTGCGTGCCTCCCAGAACTTAACACCAAGCCCGCTCAAGCCCCAGCTGTGGTTAACAACCCTTCCCACATCCTCAACCTCTTCACTGAACTCTTCTGCCTACTTCCTGCCCTCTTAGGTTACTGCTTCTGCCAAAGTCTTCAAAATGGAGCTGTCTTTTCCTCCTGTACTCCACTTATATCAGGATCAGGAGATGGAGGTCAGTTTCCTTTCTCTCCACTGCCCTTTTTTTTAATTAAAAAAATTTTTTTAAACATTTATTTATTTTTGAGAGAGAGACAAAGCATAAGTGGGGTCGGGGCTGAGAAAGAGAGGCAGACACAGAATCCGAAGCAGGCTCCAGGCTCTGAGCTGTCAGCACAGAGCCTGATGTGGGGCTCAGACTCATGAACCATGAGATCATGACCTGAGCTGAAGCTGGACGCTTAGCCAACTGAGCCACCCAGGTGCCCCTCCACTGCCTTTTATAAACCAAGCTCTGCTCCCTGGAGGCTCATGTCATTTTATTTGTTCATTCACGTATTTGAGGACCTACTATGAGATAGGCACTGTTCCAGGAACTTAAGATGAGTCAACCAGTGAATACCGCTGCCCTCATGGGGTACTTTTTGTGACTATATACTATGTTATATAAAAAATGCTATGGGAGGGAGAAAAAGTAGGATGAGGGGAGTCAGGATCACTGGCTGTGGGACGGGGATTTGGAGAGGCTTTACTGAGAACTTGAGATTTGAGTAGAGACTTGGAGGACATGAGGGATGGATTTGGCGAGTGGATATCTGGAGGAGTGTCCTTCTAGGTGGAAGGAACAGCCAAAGCAGTCTTGAAGGCATCTGCCTAGTGTGGACTGGAAGAGCCCAGAAGCCAGTGTGGCTGGGGCAGAGTGAACAGTGGAGAGTTGGCCGACAGCAGAGAGGGGAAGGGTCCGGATTGTGTAGGGCCTCACAGGTCACCCTGAGAACAGGCCTTTACTTTGAGTGCCATTGCAGTGTCTCCAGCAGAAGGAGGGACATGATTTGACTTATATGTTGAAAAGGCTCACACAGGCTGTTGAATTGAGAATCCTTTATTTGGCTCTTCCACTGAATTCATTTCCTTTTAGTTAAAAGGACATAAACCAAGTGCAAACTGGCCGAAGGAAAAAAAAAAAAAAAAAAAAAAAAAAAAAAAAAAGCCTCCTGGCTTATGTTTTTGAAAAGCCCCAGGTATTTTGGCTTCAGGAGTGGCTGGAACTAGGTATTCAAATGATATTGGGAATCTGTCACCCCATCTCTTGGCTTTGCTTTCATCTGTGTTAATTTTATTCTCAAGCTAGTGAAGGGGTACCTTCTACACATAAGCTTCACAACTTCAGCAGGAAGAGAGCACCTCTTTGCTGAGGGCTCCAGCAAAAGCCCTGGGCTGCTGTCTCATGGGCCTAGATCGGGTAAGTGCCGAAACCAAGCTCTGTAAGTCTGATGCCCAGACCTGCACCAGGTCCTCATCTTTGGAGAGAGGAGAAGGGAAGTTTTTGGTAGGTCTGTTTGTTTGAACTGTGAAATGTACATGCAAAGTATATAAAATGTATCCATACGGTTTGAAGAATAAAATGTATCTCCAAGGTTTAAAGAACAATAAACACTCATGTTCCTACCCCCCAGATTAAGAGAATATTACTAGTATTTTATTTTATTTATTTATTTAAAAAAATTTTTTTT